ACTATTTCAATAACTAACTTGCTTCAGTCTTTTCTAGAGGTGTGCGAAAAATAAGTGATTATAGATATTTATACATTTTTTCAGTCATGTGTTTCAAGTCTCGGTGTGTTCTTGTTGCCAACTGTGGAAAGTTATAAGTTGCGTGTATAATTTCAATACTACTATGATTCTTTACTCATGTTTGTGTTTGATGTGTTAAAAAGCAGGAAGTAGCTCTTGTTATTTCTCACTTCAAAGACACAGGGGTGAGTAAAAAGAAGTGATACTGCTTCTCACTCCTTTTGGATTTGTGTGAAATGTTTTTCTTTGAAAATGCCGAAAATTAAAATGTGAATAAACGATTACAAGATACACCACAGAATTTTGTGGTGAGATTTTTGATTGATTATGATTGAATGATTTTCCAGATTTGTTAATTTAATTTAAAAACAAGTCATTAAAATATACTTTGATTGAAAATGTTATGATATGTTGAAGATAAGGGATAAAAAACTTTTTTTTCCTGAATCCTAACCTATTTTTACAAGTCAAATTTTGAATTTAAGCTCCCCATTATTTAGAGAGGTATTGTATCGACAGCCTCTAAAAGACGCCCAGCCCTATATAGATACAATTTCCACTATAAAATTCTTTTCAATGTATCAATTGACCCTTTCTCCTTCTAATCCCAGTAAAGCTACACATGACACTTATCGTATCACACACATATTGTTTGCAAATCTTGAATTACAGTGTCATTTATACATTTGAGACCCTGGCTCCTCGGACCAGCCTCTGCAGCTCCAAACCGCTCTTGGTTCACATCCTCTTGGCCTCCTCCAGCGCTGGGTCAGGGAACCAAAGAAAAAAGCCACAGACAAACACACGATTGTCAACTTCTTACACCTTGACCTCAGATTAAACTCCTGACTCCCTGCTTTATGTTTGCCACCGCTTCAGCAATCGCAGGAAATGGGGAGGTTAGCGCTGGTTCAGGCCTTGATAAGAATCTTGAAATAGAGAAGTTTGTTCAGGGGAAAGGTTAGCGAGAGTTTAAAGACTGGGTAGTCAGTCATGGCCAGGATTAAAAGAAAAAGGGAAGTCAGGCCATGAGTGGAAGGTTTTCAAAAGTGCACAGCAGACAAAAAGCTGTCTGTTTGCTGGGCTTCATGCGGGGGAAGTGTAGCTTGAACTTGTCTTCACCTTTGTGCAAGAAAAACACACATTTAAAGGGGAATAATGCAACTTTGTATGAGTTTGTGTATTTGATCTTATGGTGACCCAGCGGCTGCATGAGTGGTCAGCACAGCACCTTTACTGTCCAGCGTGGTGCACAGGATTGATGGTTTGGAAGATTTTCTCTGCTGTGGGACCGTCTCATCCAGTGGGGGCGGGTCCCAGCTCAAAAGTGACCAAAATGACGTGCGCTAACATGCTTGCAATACCAACCCGGGCCGATGGGGGTGGACCCAGAAGAAAAATTAGCCAATGCTAACATATAGTAATCGTATATAAATAAATATTACTTACTTCCTATATAGCATTGGCAGACCTCTCAAAAACGTCTTTACAGGATGGACCAAAAGTTGGCTCTTGGCCCAAAGCTCCGTTCCACATGTGTGTCAATGCTGAGGGGGTGAATTATTTTGGTCCACTCTAGTTTACTCGCTGTGAATTATTGAAGTCTCTCGTTCAAATGAATGGAGTTGCGCCGGCTGACGCATGCGCAGATGCGTTTTTTCAAAATTTTCTTGTGGGCGGGACCACTCGCGGCCATTTTGGATTGCTCCAGTAGAGCACATTTTTTGGCCCATTAGTTAGAACGGCGGAGATAGGCGTGACTCTGTCCGTTAATATATACAGTCTATGGTCTCATCTGGAACTCTTCCAAACAACTGATGCCGGAGACACAACCGTGATCAAAAGGCAGTATATGATGACCACTCTTACAGCCACTGGGTCACTACCATAGACTGTAAATATTAACGGACGTAGTCACGCCTATCTCCCCCATTCTAACTAATGGGCCAAAAATTGGGCTCTCATGGAGAGATTCAAAATGGCCGCGGGGGCCGGAAAATGTGAAAAAAACGCATCTGCGCATGTGTCAGGCGGCAGGAGCCCCATTCATTTAAACAAGAGACTTCAAAAATACACAGCGAGTAAACTAGACTGATCCAAAAACATTCACTTTCCTCAGCATTGACACACATGTGGAACGGAGCTTTGGGCCAAGAGCCAACTTTTGGTCCATCCTGTAAAGACGTTTGAGAGGTCTGCTAATGCTATATGTTAGCATTGGCTAATTCTTATTCCGGGTCCACCCCCATCGGCCCGGGGTGGTATTGCAAGCATGTTAGCGCACGTCATTTTGGCCACTTTTGAGCCGGGACCCGCCCCCACTGGGTCACTACAGGTCAGACCTGCCCAGCCTGGCCTCTAAAAGAATTTTCAATTATTATTATTATTAACTTTATCACGTTTGGTTGTTTTCCTGAGAAAAAAATTGTAATTTATTCTAAAATGTGAACACAAGACATCATCAGAAGTTAAAAACAAAGCAATGAACAAATCCAGTCCAGTGTTGGTTAAATCTAAACCATGAACACAATTTCTTTTCAGAAAAATCAACCCAAAAATAATAGTGAAAGTCATGTCACAAAAAGGTTAAAAACAATCATAAGAAAAAGGAAATCTCTTCTGATCTTTTGCCTCTTTGACCTGTTCATCTTTTTTTTTTTTTTATATATTCAGCCCGTCCAAAATGAGTTTGACACCCGTTCTACAAGGTCAAATACGCAAAAATATAAACTTTTTTGCCCTAATAAACAAACTGTTACTTTGAGAAAATAGATTTAACAAGTTCATTTAACAAGTATTTTAATCCCATTTGTGATTTTACTGTCTTGAGGGTTTTCATTTTTTTTTTTTTTTGTGATCATGTTTGTTTTTAATCATATTATTAAATTGTATATTTTAATGTTTGTATAAATTTTGATGTTTATGACTTAGGCCTGATATGGGTTGTTATGAGGCGCTTTATGTTGTCTTGTGTAGGAAAAGGAGCTCAACAAATACAAATTTATTGAAAAATAATGGATAAGTACTGCTCTAATAGATTGTCATTTTCATGCAGAACATTTTTGAAGAGAAAGGATAAAAACAAGACTTGGACACAGATCTGGTGAGACCTCAGACGGTCTTTCCTGTCTTTGAGAAGCAGCTCGCAGGTGCAGCTGTAGTGGAATACCGGACATCCCGTCTCTGCACCTCCATGTGTCCAGCCCCACTGTGAATGTTACCATGGGAACTTATTGCCATCAAATTATAAATAAGAACAAAATCAGATTCAGCATTTTAGTTCTTTATTTTGGAGATATCAGTGCAAATGAACACCAAAAAGATAAAAAAATGAAAATGATTTGAGGGCTTCACATGAGAAAATGAAAAGTCTTGTTTGTTGCTACAAATGTATTTGTCAGTTGGACTATGTAGATTCATGATTGTACGTCAATCCCCAACCAGAGCCTGAGCTCCTTCACAGAGCTGTTAACCAGTAACAGAAATGAAAATCACAAAAATATTGAATGCACATTTATTTTCACGTTTGTCTTTTTGTTAAACAGTCTGTGGTTATTTGCAGACTGTTTTAAATCTAACAAATGCTCTGTGTGATAAAAAAAAGACCTATATTAAGACTTGACATTGTCCCCAGTCACCAGGAGGGTACACAGGTAGTTCCCATGCGTCTGCATGCAACAGGCAGCAGTGAGGAGTCAGACATGTTACACGACACAGCGCAGGATAGATTATCATTTACCACATAGACACATGCAAAAAACAAACCAACCAAAAAGATGGGCATAACATCTCTGCCTTCGTATGTACACGTGTATGCATATAATTCCTATTTACAGGGCATTAAAAACTAGGATTATATCTTTTCTTAAACATTACAAAATAGTCATCTTCCATACTGAAAGTACTATTTACACAAATACAGAATATTTAACCAGTGAAAATGTATTCATCCAAGAGACATACTCCATATATGCAAGTATTAAAAGGATCACAAGACTTTATGAAATAAGCAGTGTGAAATGAATGCAGACTGAAAAAAATACAGTACAATCAAAATATGAGCTAGATACCCTCGGGACACCTTTAAACGGGTGACATTTTTTCAGAGGCAAGAACTATCCAGCTGAGCCTGTGGTCATCTCATAGTATCATGCAATTCTTTTGACATTTCTGAAGATTAGAGTGCCACAAAAAGATGTCTATAAATCACAATAAAACTGAATAAGAAGTAATCACAACAGCCAGATCTTCAACAAATAACAATGAGAATGCAATAACATGCTATAAATAATTCTCCAAAAGCAGAGTTCTAGTGCAAACTCAGAATGCATCATAACAGAGAGGGAAAATGAAAGAACTGAAGCCACATGCTTGAGAGGTGATGGTTGAACCGTAAGGGAGATATAGTCTACTGCATCTGACAGGTTAACAGTTGCTCTAGAAACCTGCTTACAGCTGCACCGCACTGTTGACCCATCTGCTAGAAACGCTCTATCTGCAAACATATTCACCTGAATTTATACTGTCAAGAAATTCAACTAAAGCACAAATGTGACCATGCAGACCCCTGATGTGCAACGCCTCAATGAAGCTACTCCAGCGTAGCAAACATCCTCTGCTGAACCAGTCTCATGATTGTTCATTGTGATTCAATGACAGATGGCACTAAAGAAACTAGGATCTGTACCTACAAAAAATAATATGCAAATAGTTAAAGAGACTGATTGTAACAGAGGATCTTTGTTACCGGCAATGTGATACTCAACTTGAGGATGGTATAACAGCAGTGAGCTTTCAATAAATTAAACTCTTGTGGAGGATTTGCTAATATGCAATTGCATAAATCAAAAGCAAAATAGTTTGTCTCATCCAATCAATTTGGCAAGTCATTATAAAAAGAGAAGTACTATAGAGTCATGTTTTAGCAGTTTATAAAACCTCTATTCAGATGATTGGCTCAGCCCTCGGCTCTTATGGCTGTGCTTGTCGTTGTGGGGGGGTGATTGGGCGTGGGAGCTGTGTTCGTAGGCATGCAGGTCACTGATTGGCTCCTCTTTGACTCGAACAACAGAGTGTGTGCCCTCCGACTGATTCTTCATTTCCTTTCTTAGCTGAAGGCTGCCCTTCTGCAGCATGTAGTAGAGGATTGGGTTGGAGCGAGAGAGTCGAGGAGAGTTGGGGTTAGAGTCACAATCATCTTCCTCTTTCTCAGGACCACTCCAACGACTGGGACTCTCAGCTTCCTTTTTAACTAAAGTAGGCGTTTCCCGTTTTTGAGAGACGGGCCATGGAGACGGCTGACGACCCCACTGGGTTCGACTGAGCCCATCAGCTTCAGGTGGGGAAGACAGTGCTCGATTATGTCCAGCTGGCCCAGAACTGAGGTGTCCATGTGGGTTCCAGCCCGGCAGGCTGAGGATGTTGTGATTGTGTGAGGGCTGACTGTGAATGCTTCCATTGGCTTTACCATTAGGCTGCAAAACAGAAGGACTGGCGGTGCCTCTGGATTGTGGGGACAACTCTTTCAAGCAGTTGTCTGATAAAAGAAGCTGCTTGAGCACATTAAAGCCCCGACTCTCTTTACTCAGAACCTCATTTGGGGGGCTCCTTTGTGGAGCTTCATCAGCTTTCGGACTTCTCCTCTGGTCCAACTTATCCTGAACACCGGGAGAAGCAAAACCTAGGGTGCAATGTTCCACTGCTCTGGGAGAGTTGCTATTGTTTAAAGTGTCAGTCCGTTCAGAGAAAAGGCGCCTCTTTTTGGGACTGGGGCTGAGATAGTCCCTTTGCTCCTCTTTCACCTGTCTGAGCTGTGGCTCCACGTGGACAGCACTACTAGTGTAATAAGTAGCAGTTTGTTGTTTAAGCAGCTGACTAAGAAGGCCATACTTTGCAATGACCTCTGCAGGCCGTGGCTCTGTTTTCACGTCAGGCTGATGGTCAGACAGACGGCAAGTCTTTTCATAACCTGGTCTTTTTCTGCTACTTGGTTCTTCAGATGTACCAGAGAACTGCCCCTTCTCTTCTAGATGCTCCATTTTGACCTTTACATCTGAAGCAGGTCCATTGGAGCTGTCACAGACGCTGGAAACACTGGGACTCTTGTCATTGCGACCCCCTGTCACCTCGACGCTCGCCCGGCCACTCCCAGAAGCCCTTTCTTTGCGGCTGGGTGTAGAGGTGGCTGAAGTGTTCCCTAGAAGCAACTGTAAAACAGTGCGCCTCTCCAGAAGGTTTTCAATCTGGGAAGAAGGAGGCGTGAGCTCCTTGTGGCTATAGGGGGTGGAGCTGCCTGAGGGTCCATCTGACAGAGGTGTATTGGTCATTCGGTGCAAAGGGGCATTGAGCCTTTCTAAAAGAGCAAGGGGTCTATTATCAAGCTCTGGACCCAATGGTTTAGCAGGGGGGATGGGGGGAGAAGTCCCACACTGAGCTAGATTCTGTAAGAGTTTACTGGCACTAAAGCCAGGCTCAGAAGAATTCTCGACGGGAAATGTTTTGGATTTGCAAAGATCTAATGGACTGGACTGGACATGAGGTGAAGGGTATGAAAAAGGGGAGAGGGTACCACTTTGCTCTTGACCGAGTGGATACAGAGAATGGGATGGAGGCTCTGGTCGACTTGGGGGGCTATTTTTACCATTTTCGGTCCAGGGCGCCAAACCCTTTGACTGACTACGAGACATTGTCGCCATAGTAATGTCGAGAGGCAAATTCTCATTACTTACACATTTGTTTGCCATCTCGTTATTTCTGCGCTCAAGTAGGAGCTGCATGAGGGTGAGTTTAGGGTGGGATTTCAGGTCAGGGCTCGTCTCAGGCTCTTTATTCCTTGAGACCACTGAATTAGATGGATCTGGTTTCCACTTATTTATTAAAGACTCAGTCAGTTTGTCAAGGGAGGAGGTAGAAAATGATGAGGATGAAGAAGTATTAACAGTGACAATAGCAGCAGACGTAGGTGAAAGAGCTGTGGAGGACTGAGCAGAGGGTTGAGGTGAGAAAGCAGTGGGAGCAGGGGAGAGAGGGGTGTTGGAAGACAGGGAAGTGGACAGCATGTTCATTTTGGGGCTAGTTTCAACACTTATGCGACTTCTCATTGAGAGGTCAATAGGAGAGCAGCTCGAGTAGGAGCTCTCTGCATCACTGCTGTCTTTTGCTAGACTACGCTCCTGTGCAGAACACTCACTGTCAGATGTCACAGAGGAAGGGCCACTGGGGGGTAAAAAGCCACAGGAATCCTCCAAGTGCCCATTCTTAGTCAGCTGCTTCTGGCTGTTATGATTATTTAGAAGTAGCAGCAATAAGCTGCTACATGTCTGTGGAGGGCGGGTGGGACGGGAGTCAAAGCTCCTCTTCTCCCTTGGTGTATGGCTGTGACTTTGAGCGAGACTGGGTGGGGAACTTTGGCTGTGACCGCGGAGCAGAGAGGGACTCTGTGGACTAGAAAGGCCTGATCGAGGGAGTGTCGTTGTTGATGTCGACATACTGTTTAATGTAGTTAAGGAGCTTAATGTGTCTGAGGCTCCAGCCAGAGTGCATCCCTCACTGGGTGGTCTTTTGTCCTGGCCATGCTGCTGGTTTGCCATAGCTGCCAGACGTTCACTGGCAGACCTACCAGAGAGTTGGGCTTTGAGGGCATGCTCTCTGGAGTACTGCTGGAGATGGGCCTCACTGGATAACAGAAGTGCCAGCTGACTGCAGGCCACACTGGGCTTTGGAGAAGGTGCAGGACTGGAGCGGATTTTCACCATGTTAGCCACAGCCTTCAGACGCTCAGCACAGGAGTCTGTAGGGGGTGTGGCACTGTGGGCAGAGTGTGGGGACTCTGGGGGTCGGTCTTGGCTATGGCCTCTGCGACTGTAAGGCGTGTTGCTATGATTTTGAATTTTGTTTTTTCTCATTAGACCTTTCAAACGACTTGAAGCGGTACCATACACAGGGAGAGGCTCCTTTTCTGGAGGGGTCTTTGGGGGAGGAGAAACATCCCCAGCGGGTTTAGCAGAGTTCTGTGACATGGCTACATTTTGAAGACGTGAACTGAAAGATTGTAGCAGTGAAGCCAAAAGGGTGCTCTCCCCGGCATGAGGAGACCCTTCCAGAGTTCCATTTTGTATGACCCCTCCCTGACCATTCATTTCAACTGAGGGGGAGCTTATGCGTTGGCTTGCTGAATCGTTCCAGGCCCCTGAGCGCAGTAGCCGGGCCTTCTTCAGGTGCTGTGTTGCACCCAGGGAGGGCCCATTGGTTCCAGCAGCTGGAGCTGTAGGTCCATGAGTCGGCGGCCTGCCCCCTTTGTCCACCTGCTGTTGATTGCTATGGGCAGCCTCAGACCTCCTGCCTACTGTGGCCCCGGGCCCAGCCACCACGGGATGCATCAGTAAACCTTCCAGATAAGTTAGAACAGCTGAATCCTTGTGTGTCTCAGGGCCAGGCTCCTCCCCATGAGTCATGTTCAATACTAGGATCCACTCGTATAGTTCAGTACTGTGATCGGAAAATAAGGTCCACTAGGTCATTTGGGTGACAGAGGTAGCTCCCAAATATCAAAAATAGTCTCTTCCACGTTTGTAAAAGAAGAGATTAGATCCTGTGTAGTGAGCCAGTTAGCACTATGGTGAAACAGCCTCTATAGGTGAAAGCAATCTGCTGCAGGTGGGCCTCCCAGGCATTCTCATGCCTTTAAACACAGTGCAATCCCAGAAGGCCCCGCCCCAGGCTCAAGTGAATAGCTGGAGTGCAGGAAGCACGATGTCGCCACAGAGATGTTGACACATTCCGTGGCTCTAGATGTTCGGGATGTCCATTCTTGAATGTGGTTCTGCCAGTGGCGCCTTCCAGCCTCGCAGACCTCACATTGGGGACCTATGGAGAGAGCGATAGACAGAGAAGAGGGAGGGACGGATGGAGGGAGAAAAGGAGAGAAGAGAAATTGTGTGAGAAGCTGGGATTTGCACAGCACTGTATCACATTCATTTCAGCCCCTTGTCTGCCGTCTCTGTTACTTAGCAACATTTCAGATTGACTGCACACAGCTCCTTCTCCTCAGCACTCTCCCCACTCAACCACACAGCAGACGACAAATGTAGATTAGACCTGATTGGATCCAAATTGAAAATTCAAGCCCACTACCTTGAAAACATTCAGGTCTTGAGCTATAAGCCCTCACAGTGATGTCTTTCAAAAGTTAAGGGTCTTATGAGAGCTGTGAATAATTTCCTGTGCAGCTTGTCATTTCAGTGGATTATCCCCCCTACCAACACCACCCCCTGCTCCTTATGCACTTGAGATGCAACCTTCACTATGTATGAAGATGAAGACTACCACCCAGTCCTTTCCATATGTATGTGTGTATATTTTATAGAAAAGGAACCACAAAGATTAACATCCAATAGATAGACTTATGAAAGTAAAAAGGGAAATAACAAACATATGTAATCCTGCACATATTGTGTGTGGTTTTGATGCGGAGGATCAGTTGCACCTGTCACAGTGCACCACTGTCAGGAGGCCAGAGTCCCCGACACAGGGGTGAGCATGGTGCCAGTTGCCATGACAGCATCAGTGGCGCTGCCCGGAGAGACCTGTGCTCTGAACCCTGTCAGCGTGGTTTCTGTGGATACAGGACACCGCAGCCCGGCCGTCTCCATAAAGGTTAATTAATACAGAGTTTCCACCTCGCTTCAGCTGCTGTCTGTGTCCTTTCCTGGTGCCGCTCTCACCTCTGGTGTCCAGTGAGTGAACCAACATTGCAGGTCACACAATGGGACATTGGACAGTAGTCCTTGATAATAACGATAGGCCAGGACAACACACAACTTGCTTATTTAAATACATTTTAGAGAGCTTTAGTGAGGCCAGAGAAAGCATTCACCAAGTGAGGCAGAATTGAGGCTATAGGTTAGCTTGAGTGCTGTGAGGTGCCACTGTAACGGCACCAGTAGAACGAGCAGGAATTAGAACTAGACTCAACCTTAGAAGAGCTCAATTTGGTCTGCTTTGTCTGCCTCTTGAAAACCACATGCACTAATATCCATCCATCCATCCATCCATTTTCTACCCTTTAATCCATTTCTGGGTCAGGGGGGTGGCAGTCAGAGATGCCACCCAAGTCTCATAGCACCAGCCCCTCACTGACCCTCTGCAGGTGGTGAGTCCACAGGAGGACGGCTGCTCTCTGACTGTGAGCATAGCCTTGATCTTTCAGCACTAATGCACTAATGCACATGCACTAATATGATCTTTCAGCACTAATGCACTAATGCACATGCACTAATATGACGTTTTCAAATATCCTTCATGAAATTACACACAAATCGTATATTAGCTCATTAGTGTCAATTACCTTTCAAGGCAATTTTAAGCCGTTGACCTGAATCAACAACAAAAGCCAACCTACACTGGGCCATCTGACGTCTGCTGTTATGCTAATGTTAGATGCTAAGGATTAGGGCTATTTTGCTGGAAGTAAGCTTAGTGTATTTTTAATAGAACGCTGTGTAACACTGAGCTTGATCAGCATGGGAAACATGCACATATGTTTACCTTCATTATAGCCTGGAACCGTAACCAATAAGGCATGATACATGCCTCAAGATAGAGCCACAAATAAAGAAAAAGAAAGACTGACACGGTTTCAACATGGAAAATGCTGTTAATCTCTTTACTGCTGGCAGTGAACCTTTTGGAATTAGAGTTGACCTTGTCTGCAGACAAGGCTGTACAGGGACACCGCATAGAATTCGTTTATATACAGCACAGCTATTGCATACTTCATCTGACATGAAGTGCAAATAACTCTTTCAACAAAGTGGGGACCTTCAGGCTCTTGAGAGACATGTAAAAACACAGCATGTATCTCAAAGCCGTGGCACAGTGCAAGGGCGAGAAAAAAAAATACGTTCTTTTCCGTGACAGTGCATGGTTAACAAATAAATGACCTTAATATAGGGAAAGCTGTCCTCTGTAGCAAGCCTCTAAAGCTTAGGGCTCTCCTTTTTCCCTTTTCATGTATGAGCTGTGTATTACTATTACATTATCTTCCCTGGTGTATACATTGGAAATGACCTTACACATCTGTTAACATGTCATCTGATTGGTGGTGGCACCCAAAAAGCCTGACCTCCACCCCATCCCCCACTGAGGGACACCAACGGGCCAATGAGCTGCTCGACACTTTCTGTGGTGATTATCCATTATCCTTGACAATGTCAGCCAATGACAGGGCAGGCGCAATTCTAACGTGAATTTTACCTCTACAGTGGGCCATGCATGTGAGAGGGAGGGCAAGTGATGGGAGAAAAAGAGAAAGCTTCATCATCCCCTGGCTGCTCCACTCTTCATTTATTACTGTCTGTCTTGCTCTTCTTGTGCTTTAAGACGGGAACAGGAAAGGTCACTGCACTCTCAGCCACTTTCAGATATATGAGGGTTTACCAGCGAGTGACACACAACGGTGCCAATGCAGAAGTCATGGATTAGATTTGGACAACTGACCTTCGCTTGTTCACCCAACCTCTAGATTACTCCCACTATCACACGCACACAGATTTTCACAAAGTACAGCGCCCTTCACGGTTTATCTTTTAAGTTAATAATAGCCTTCACTCTCATCCGTTAAAATGTATTAGACAAATCAAAGAATTAAAAAGGGACCGAGCCATAGGAGTGGGAGTGAAACAAGTCAAGGTCACTTGTGCCGCCAAGGCTTTTCCGGTTGATGCAACAGCTGGTGTCCATGCAAAGCTCTGGGTGTTAATAAAAAGTGACAATGCTGCCCAAGTGGTGTGTATTACTAATGTCTGACACCAGCCTGGCAGATGTGTTCTCCATGCATTTAAGAGGAGTCAAGGTTAAAGGAATTTAAAAGGAGAGGCATTGCCTAAACACTATTATATCATGTAATCTGCAGCCCAGCTCTGCAGCACACACAACGGGGGAGCTCACTTACAAATGTGCTATGACCGCTATTTGTAAATTCAATATAGCTTGACATGATCAAATAAGACAAGACATAAGCTACCTGACCAAAAGCACTTGTTCGAAGTCCTCCACTGGTGCCTGAGTGCACCTGAGGAAAGCAGAATTAAAGCTCTTGTTCACCTTGAAAGTGATAAACAAGAGAACATGCTATTGAACAGCAGGAGTGCTCGAACAAGAAATAGTTTTTTGTGGATAAGTCAATCAGGACAAACACTGAAAAGCAATCCACAGACCCGAGCACACCCACACAAAAGAGAACTAGGGCACTCTGACCCACTTCTTTGGACGCACTGACCAAACAAGTCATGCATAGAGCGCACGCCCCTGTGTGCTCCTGCGCTGCATGAAGCGCACATAAAGGAAACATGATACAGTGCTAAAGTCAGGCCAGTATAGTGCTAATCCACCGGGACACAAACCACCCTTCCCAGAGCACTTGAATATGAGGAATAATGTGCATCAAATGAGATGGGACTGGAGCTATAAAGTCCTTGGCCTGCATCTGCCGCGAGATGGCCAACATGGGGGCAGATTTTAACGGGCTTCATCAGCACAGAGAGTTCTCAGGGTGGAGAGAAAGCTAGCACACACTGATGAGTCATCTGAGCGGCCCGTGTGCAACTCACTTGTGGAGAGTCGGAAGAGGCCGCTGGATGGATGATACTGTATTGTAGTTATCCTGCATGTACGTGGTTACAGAAAGGGTTGTATCTATAGTAAATATTTGTGTGCCTTCTCCAAGACCCACCCACAGGCCATTTCCTGAGCGGCAGAACAGAAGTGCTTCAATGAAACACACACATTCTTTCTTAATGAGCCGCGCCGTCGTCAATCTATATCGGATTTTGTTTCTATTGGGCTTGGAGGTAATCTGCCTACATCGCCTGTCCGAAATGGTGCTCATTTCCCTTGCCAAAACAACACAGAGTTTCCATTTGTAAACACAGAGCTAGAAATAGGAAGCAGAATACTGTGGTGACGTCCAAAGGGAATGGGCTTCAAATGCAATTGAGATCAAATGTCCCACAGTCAAACTGCCCCAAATGCCACATAAAACTAGTAAGAATTCGTGGCCTTTTATAAATCATTTCCATAAAGTCCTTGGCATCAGTCCTGAGAAGGCCATTGCAATGACTCAGCAAGATGTTTGACTTAATTGGGTTAAATGAGCACACTTTTCTAAAGTGACTAATGGAAAATGCTGGGAATAAAACTGTGAAATACAGAGATAAGAGGAATGTAAAAGAAAACATCTCTTGAAAAAGCACGGCCCATTAAACAGTCATGAAAATATTACACCGGTTATGATGCGCATTCACTCACTTTAGATTGATGATGACACAGATATTGTTTCCTTCATCATAGACCTGTGTATCATAACTTTGGATCAATGTGATGTACTGTCTCTACATACATCACATTTAATACAATAAAGTACAAAACAATTATGTGTAACCTTTTCTGGGAAAAG